AAGTAAGGCTTTGGGCATGTTTTTTTTTAATGAGAGTATAATATTATAACATGATATAAAACTCAAAAAAGTTGATTTTACATGATACGGCCCCTTTAATAAAATCATTTGGCACATAGTGTTCACACTGCATTGTTGAAGAAAATGCAGTTTTTTTAGTTACAAATTTCTGTCATATTTGTTCCGTTTGTTCCCTAAAATCTTGAAAGGTGGAGTTTAATATAAATGTGGTTTTGTCCAGAGTTCTGGAGAAACAATCACTCTGTATAGAGGTTTGGTCACATGGGTGTATAACTGGGGCAGAAGGGTTTCTAAGGAAGGCACTGTTCCCATTGTAGTACAGCAGTATTCCCAGTACTCCCATTCATGGCCTGATGCATTCTCTGTGTGTGTGTGTCTGCGTGTGTGTTTCAGGATCTACATGTGTCAGATTCTGACCATCTTGCCAACATGGACCGAATGAACAGGAATAAAGTGGAACACGAGCGTCAAACACACCAGGTCTTACAGGTGAGTCATTAAATTCAATTTATAGAAGCATTTATTAGATGATGCAACTAAGTTATAGTTGATTTTATTACCAGCAGCGTCGGCTGTGATTCAGCTGATTTGTTGTTTTTGTATCAAGAAAACATTTTGATATTTAAATCACGATTTTCTTCAGATTACTCAACTGTTCAGTTATATAAGTGTGTTTTAACCTGTCTAATTAAAAATTTTGGTTGAATATGTTTACATTTTAACCATACATTACAATGTTCAGATTGTGCAGAGATGAATACTTGAACTGATCACAGAWCTTACTAAATGAAGTTGTAGAGAAAATGTGTTAGAATGTGCACTTTTAAAAATTGCTGGTACAGAACGTCTTTATCATGAACAAGAAAAGTCATTCATTTTTTTATTAGTAGCTACATGTCTGTCATTAGTTTCTATGTATATTCTGTCACACACACGTCTCACAACCAAAACAATCCCTGCATTAAAAATGAATTTTAGTGAAGTCAAACTGTACTGTATGTATAAAGTAAACATGTATCATAAATAGATCTGTTAATGATTTGATAATGATGCTTTCCTTCTGACAGAACACTCCATTAGACCTGATTGAAACAGGCAAGTCCCTGAAAGTCCAGGCTGAGCGCCCCCACCTGGTGAGTTTGGGAAGCGGGCGCCTGAGCACAGCCATCACTCTGCTGCCACTGTTGGAAGGTAAGGGCCTCTGTATGTGTAAGTTTAAAATTACAAGTTTATGTTTTTGCTAAAACTAATAAAACTCTGTTTAGAAGCTAAACCAGACAACTGACTAAAAGCTAAAAGTTTWAAAATGCTAGCTAAAAGCCATGTATTATTGCTAGAAACTAAATCTAGTTAAGCCTAGATAGAAGCTAAAATTGATAAAAGGTTGTAACAACCTGGGGTTACACCATATTTAGTTAATTRTTTTCACCTGTTTTTTTTCACTGCCAACACTAATTATTGATTCAGATCACCTGTAGAGCCGCAGTGACTTCCCCCTTTAAAACATCCGCCTACACTCAATTTGTTTTGTGCTTAAAAAGAGATTTATTTACAAGTTAAAAAAAGAAAAAACACATTATATAAACAGTCCTTCAATGACAAGAAATATAAAAGAGAGACAAGACTGTCCCCTCTTAAAAAAAAACGACTCTGTCTTTCATTTTTCAGAGTTGTTTTCTGATTTATTTCTGACTGATTTAATCAGCTTGCTCGGACACGTAATCTGTCACCGATGGACAACTCATACACTAAGTAATCTGGTAAATTCCATTTTGGGGGGATAGAAATTATACTTCACACAAAATTGATCATAGTTTAATATGTTACCATTAGCATCCATTAAATGAACAATAGACCAAATGTTCTCCATCCAGTCTTTGTAAAATAATGATTTATTGCGATATAGTATGAATCTGTTATTCCATATGATAGTGGAGTGTGGCGAATAGTTATGTACATAAAGCATTTTCCAGTATAACAACACTTGTTTATGGAACTCTGATAGTTTAATGGGCAATTTATGTATATTAAAATCAGTTAGAAGTAGTAGTTTTAGACCACCTATTTTGTTAAAAACAATTGGGGACACAATACCAACATAATTCAATTTTTTTTTTATCCAGGATTTCAACCAATTAATCTTTAATAAGATGAAGTTTTATTTATAGTTAAAGGCTGGTTTCATATTATTTATGTATATCTTAATGGTTTCCAGAGGCTCCAAATATTGTGGTTGTGAAAATAGTTTATGTAATCTATGTTATCAGCAATACAAAATGGAAGTTTTCAACAGGTTAATTTTAACATGTCATTGTGTTAAGCTGTCAAGACTGATGAGATGACAACAACTGATGATACATTTCCCTCTGAGCATGTTGTTGTTCCTTATACTGAGACACAGTTGCAGCTGCACGCCTGTCTCTACGAGCTTGTGGYGCCGTTTGTCTTGCAGTGGGCTTTGAGATCTCCGAGGCAGAGCAGAGGGTGTAACAGTGGTRACTGTAAATAAATAACTCTTCTCTTGTTCTCAGAAAGTTGTGGAACGAAGCTGAATTTAAAATGACAGTAAAATCAAAGCTACAGAAAGCTCTAAATGTGCCAGTGAAAGTCCGGCACGTCTTTAAGTCCAACACCTGTTTGTTTTTAAGACTCCTACACAGATTTTGTTTGACCCTGTTGACACCTGAGATCACGTTGCACAGATCTACGGTTCAAGCGACCTTCCAGGAATCGACGGGGAAATGTTTTTCTGTCTTTGCAGGGAGAACGACTCTGGGYAGCGATGGGACAGATATCCCCCTGCAGGGTCCGGGTATCACCCCTCAGCACTGCTACATCGAGAACCAGGCCGGCAGCATCACCTTGCACCCATGTGGAAACAAGTGCTCTGTGGACGGACTCCCCATCACTAAACCCTACCGCCTCACACAAGGTAGCACCAGACTTATTCAACAAGTTAATACATTAACTAGAGACAAAGTTAGTGGAAACGCTTTATGGCTTTACAGTTTTACAGCAAGGCCTGTGTCCTTCCTGTGGAATATTAACCACAAACCAGTCCTAACAGTCCCACCCCCTAAACTCCCACCTCTCTCAGCTCCAGCAGAATGTCATTTGAATCCGGTGTGTGTGGAGACAGCAGCTGCTGACGAAGAATACTCCAGGCTTTGCCTGTTGTACACAACAATAATGACGCTCTGAAGARCCTTTTAATGGAGGAAACTGTTTCTAGGGAGGAAAGTAGCGACGCTCTGGACTCCAAAGGATTTAAATAATTGTTAAACTTCCTGTGGAACATCTACAGCTGGAAACAAAACTTCAGTGGTYGACTCTCAGGGTAGAAATCAGGCATGTTTGAAAAATGAGGTGAAATTACAAAAAGGTAATTTTATTTACTGATTAATTACGCATTTTTTTTAACCAAATTGTTTCTATCGGCTGTTTGAGAGGATGAATTCAAACAATCAAAAGAGAAGAAWGTTTTTGTAGCTGTTTTCTAGTTTCTAGCATGCCACTTTAGCAACATCCATATTTTTACATAAAATATTCTTGTATTTTGTAATTGCATATTTTATTTTAAGCAGATTAGTTTTGGGGAAAAAAGAAACTGGGTTTTATAATGTTTGCATTAATGCAAAGCTGGAGCCAAAAGAAGTACACTGCAAATACTGTATCGCTAATCAAGTTTTACAATCTTGTACCCAGTCAAAAAGTATTTTTGATCGTTTTGAAACTGATACACTAAGCAAGAATGCATTAAATTAATAATCTTGTTATTTCGAGAAGTCTAAGTGCAGCTGTCTTACTGCACTGGCAGAGTTTCACTTGACTTAATGTGTCAAAAATAATTTTTGGCTGGATATAGRATTGTAAAACTTAGTTATATGGACAATTGTTGCAGTGCACATCGAATTAGCACTGCTGTGCTCATAATTCTGCAGTCATTAMAACAAAACTAAAGAAAACAAATGAACAAGAAAACACATCAACATTTCTTCGTAGGGTTGGGCAAAATTGGATTGTGTGTAAGTAGTTGTCAGAAAAATTGTCAGCAATTAATGCCTTGTGATGATATGTTTTTTCATCTAAATAATTTAACCTGTTRAAATGAARATGTTAGTTTGACCGATGATTTGTAAGTATAATATTAGAACACAGTGTAATGGATTTAGTCCAAAATATGCAAATGCTATTGTCATTTATTAWTCGTCAATTAAATCCAAATCTGCTAAATGTCACAGTTACGGTAAATATTATTAATTTTTTTTGCCAATATCGCCCAACCCTTCATGCCCACTCTTCTTTGTTTTCAGGGTGCATGCTGTGTTTCGGTCAGTCTGCCTTTTTCCGCTTCAACCATCCAGAGGAGGCTCAGAGGATGAAGAACATGCTGCCTGGYGGGAGTCTCAGACCAAACACCACAAAACTGCTTCCCTCAGGTAAAAAAAAAAAGAAGAAAATAACAATAATAATAATAATAAAAGCAACAACAAACCCATCCACACCTAATCTAGCTCCATTCTGAACACTTCCGGTCATCCAGAAATAACYGTCTTGTAACAACTGTTTGTGCAAATTGTTGCACAGATTTCTCAGCAGCTATTTTGGGCAAAGCAAATGTTCTGGTCACATAAAACTCTTTAGATTCCTTCTTTTGTGGTCGGAACAAACTGAAGGTTTCACACTCCTGTTGAATCAGCAKGGTGTGACTTTAAATCCTAATATAGAACAAGAACGAGCAGGAAGGTTATATTTTAGATTTTAAGGTTAGATTTTTTTATATATTTWAAAAAAATAGTTTAGTGGAAAGGTTAAACAATGTCTGGATTTATTTCTATGTAAGATGTTAACTGTTCATCATAGCTTCTCCACAGAACTCTTGCAAAGATGAAGTCCACAAACAGAATCTGGCCTGAATMGTCTTCAGGTTCAGTTATTAAACGTGACAGGGTGCAGAAATAGCTCGTTCATAGCTAATTATCAGTGGCCTAAATTGTGATCTACATTCTCACTCAGTGTGGTGACCTCATTGTGTTGTTATCTTCGCCTCCTGTGTGCAGTTACAGTAAGAGTAATGTGGTTCTGGCCCCCTGCCCAGTGTCACTGCTCTGATATTTAGGAGCCATTCTCCTGTGACCTTATTAGTTAGGCTGTCAGTGCCTGAACAGTAATAGCTGCCACTCCCTTCCCTTAGTGTTTCGCCCAGTCTTTCCTGACCAAACCCTGATTCCGTCTACTTTAAACAAGTTACTACATTTTTATTTTTAGCTGCTCTATGGGGTTACAACAAAACTAACCTACCCCCACAATTTAAAGTGGGCTCCTATAGTCAATTCTTCCTTTTATAGACCCTCTTTGTCCTGGAGCTATCCTGAGGTGTGACAGAGGCCAGCAGGGTAAACAAGATGCAGGGCTCTGATTGGCTGTTTGTTTATGTGTGTTTKTACAACTGTTCCTTCTTTCTTTATTCAACTGGAAAGCTCATGAACATGTGTTTTGCCTGTCCCTGCAGACCCCCACAGTGTCTCAAATGGCAACCATGAGTCCTTTCCCTGCAACAGCGACGCCAAACTCAACAGCGTGGTAAAAAGTCTGCAGGAGACCCTGACGCTGAAGGGGTCCTCGTCATCCTCGTCAGAGTTCTGTAAGCAGCAAACGTCCTCTCCAGACTTGTCGAATGGGAAAAACATCTCTACAAGTCCCATTCAGGAAAACAYCAGTCAGAACAATAAAACCCCCACGACACCAGCCCGGACCCCTCGCACCAGCCAGGTTCCCGTTCCATATCCACGGACGTCACTGTCTGTGGGTTTGAGTGGGACCGGTGGGGYTCAGAGGGCCCAGGAAAGTCCAAAGCCTCTGAGGAATGTTAGGGGAGAGGCCACGTCGAGTCCCAAACCACATGTCAGGAGCACAGAAAACTCCAGCCTCAGCCACAAAACGTCCTCCRTCAAGTTTTCCCCAGCAGCTCCATCCAGCCCTCGATTAAGAGGTCCGTCCYTACAGAGGAGATCCCCCAGCCCCATGCGGGACCAGGGTCACATCAGTGTCCCTCACAGGATGACTGGGTCTACCAGCTTGAGGGAACTTCCTCCTCTCAGCCTTGACRTGTCCTGCAGGGGCACTTCAGGATCACCCGGGGTCCTCGAGAGCCCCCAAGGTCATCGGAAACTTGCACCTCCTTCTAAAGCAGAGGCCATGAAAGCAGTGTTTGCACACAGTCCATCATCTGTCCACGGCCTGGAGAAGGAGTCAGGGAGCAGGCTGCCACAGCTCGGCCCGACGAGTGCCATCGTGTCAGGCTCGGGTTCAGTATCTGGTCTGTCTCCTCTTCCCAGCCCTCACAGCCAACGGAAGACCTCCTCCATGAAAGKATCCCATAGCAAGGAAGGGAGTCTCATGAAACCACACACCCGGGAACGCAAAAACAGCATCTCTGAGATCAGCGATAACGAGGACGAGTTGCTGGAATATCACCGCTGGCAGAGGGAGGAGAGGCTGCGGGAGCAGGAAATGGAGAAACTGGTAAGAAATTAGTTTCAAAGCTAATGGGATTCAGTTTTAACTTTAAGCTTTATTCCTCTTTTACATGAAAACTTGAGTCTGGATTTAGATTGTTTTTATCCTATGTTTTAATTTGCAATGATCTACCTTTTTTAAACTTTATTTTTTTGGAAGAATTTGCCGTTAATTTTTTTGAGGTTTTCATCTGTAAACTTTCTTAAACAAGCAGTTAGAATCAAATTTCAGACAGGTATTTTAAAGCAGAGTATTGCACACAACTTGTTGTTTAGCTTGCAATATACCATACCATACCATACCATACCATACCATACCATACCATACCATACCATACCATACCATACCATACCATACCATTATGGCATGGCATGGTATGGTATTACCATGCCATGCCATGCCATGGTACCAAAGTCAACGTTACAAATGCTATACAAAGTCCAGGGAGAGGATTTGGATTTTAAGAAGGGATTTAAAAACAGACAGGGACGAGGCCTGTCTGATGTCCAAAGTGAGGTTGTTCCATAATTTAGGAGTTGCCACAAACAAAGCACGGTCTTGAAACTTGCTGATTTTCAATCCAGGGTTTTAAACTATCCTATGCTGAGAAACAACAAAGTTAGAACCATGTTGGTAGGAGCTTGAAAATAACATTGTGCACATTTTCACATAAAATCACAAAATCTTGTGCAATCTCTAATCACTCTGAGTATGTGTCAAGGATGACTTCCAGCTACTACCACATCAGATTTTAATTCAATATCTGTAAAATTTACTGGGTTAAAACGGTTTTTTACTTGGTTTAGGTGGTGGTTGATGAATAATGGTTGATTAGCTGTGGCGACCATCTTGATTTGGGTGTAGAGGCACTTTGAATGATTACTCTGAGAGTTTCATTAAAATTTGCTCAATGGTTCATGAGATATTTCGCTAACAAATCATCAGGATTGACTTCAACAATTAAAAAAATGGTTTGAACAAAAATCTTGCACGGTTGATAGTGCTCAGATTTAGGGATGCACAATATCGACATTAGGATCAGTATCGGTGTGATAAGTAAAGCTGGGCTGATATTAACGTTCAATATTGATTTTCCACTTTTTAGCTTTAGCTTCTGTCTTGGGAGGGGAGATGTTGGTTGAGTGGCATCTGTTTSATCATGATATGACRCTGCACAGCCAGTAACTGAAGCAGGGAGCCATGTCAGCGGTCTGGTCATTTATTTATGATATTGAAAAAAGACACAAGTGTATTTTTGCGTATGACTCCTGCTCAACATCTGCAAAACTGACTGAGTTCTAACAATTTTTTAGTTGGCTCAGATTGATTAGCTGCAGCAGCCATCTTCAAATGAGTTTATTCCAAAAACGAATCACTCGTAGATAAAGTGATTATTTTCTGTGAGTTTTATTTGGAAACATGGCGGCTCAGTGGTTAGCACTGATGCCTCATAGCAAAATGGTCCTTGTTTCAGACCTGGAGTCTTTTTGTGCAGAGTTTGTATGTTCTCCTTGTGCCTGTGTGGGTTTTCTCCAGGTACTACGGTTTCCTCCAAACCAAAAACATGATAGGCTGCATTCAGGCCTCCCTCGTAAAAGAGATCTGTGATCTTAATGGGATTTTCCTGGTTAAATAAATAAGTGTTATAAACCATATAGTGATTTATGAGATATTTTGCTTGCAACATACACACAGACACAAGAACACACAACCTCGCCTCAGAGTTTGTTAGAAACTTTATAACTGCTGTCATGACAGACTGCATATCTGCTCTCTGAAATCTTCTGGTGCTCAGCCAGTAGTTTATCTCAATCCTGAACATTACTGGCACCGTCGGCCCATGCGGCCTCAGTGACACGGGGTGAACATTCCTCCAGACGTCTCGGGGTCCGGTGCGGAGGGCGCGGCTGGTTGTTGCTCGGCACTATATTTACCAGAGGGACGAGTGGCGTCTGCTTTCAAAGCTGCCTCTTCATCATTCCCACAGTAGATCACAGACCACATACTTGTTATCTATCTTCAGTGCAGCGCACTCATCATCATCATCATCCAAGAAGCAATTCTGCCCCCACCGGATTTCAGCCCACCGACAGCTGAGATGATCACAGAGGTTGGGTGGTCACTGTCTGTTCTACTAACTGTAATCATGAAAGGTTTTCCAGTAATTTTGGACAAACCCCAGTCTCTGATCAGGCATAAAGACTTGATATTTCTTAACCATTAAATCCCTTTATGTGTTTTCTCATTTATTGAAAAGATAAAGCAGTTTTAAATTTKATGGCAAAAAGATTGGACAGGTTTAACAAAAGTTTCAAAATAAGTGCCTTTTGCAACAAATTAGATTAATTGGCAACAGGTCAGTAAGAGGAGTTTAAAAGACTTTCTCTAAAATCAAGGAACATTTTCAGAATAATATGTTTCTAAATGGAAAATGTGCAGTTCAAATGTAAAAAATACTTTTGGGCTTCGTAGAAGTGGTATTTTGGAATTACAAATGACAGATTCTGCTTTTTAACCTGGTTTTACTGTAAAGCCCCTCCCTCGAGTTGCATTTGTCCCATGCCTGTGGCTATAAGGGGCAGCTGTCTAAATGGGACAATGTCACCCAAGGACGATTTCAGCGAATCTGCAACGTGATCCAGATGATCGGACAGCCTGCTTCTGTCTCCCGTCTCGTCTGTAGGAGAGACAGAGACTGGAGACCATCCTGAGTCTGTGTGCTGAGTATAATCAAGATGACGGCGCAGCGGAGCTGATGAGAGGTGGGCTGCTGGAGGGCGCTGGAGGAGTGGGCTCAGAGGCGAGCGTGGGGGCATTCCTGCAGGGAGCCGACAGAGGTCAGAGGGTGAGGGAGATCGATGAGGAGATGCAGAGAGAGGAGTCCAGCAGCACAGAGAGCACACATCAAGAGGTGAAACACACACTTTGAACATGTTCTCTTTATTCAACTATATATAAACAAATAAGTCATTTTAAAAAAATCTACATTCAGTGTGAAGAGCTGTTTGCTGGACAGGAGCAGGTCTACCTGGAAGAAGAGAGGAAACGGATCCTGGTCAGAGTAGATGACTTGAAACACAGAGTCGGTGATCTGGAGCAGCAGCTACAAGAGACCAAACAGGAGGTCAGCACACACCATAGAGTTAAATATCACTAGACTGAGCCTCGCCTGTCTCTTCCACTGTTAACATCTGTGACATCATGGAGGAGGAAAAATGGTGACCKAACAGCTCAACTTGATCTGTGTCACAAGTTTTTGTTATATTTTTTTACAACAAATTAAAATAGTTTGTT